CAGCGAATATCACCCACGAAATAAAAATAATTGTTTTTTTGGTTTTTTGGGGTTTTTTTTTTCTGCGTAAAGAACCTACGTACATCAAATTGTCTTTAAATTAAAAAGCAGCAGAAGAATTATCGTTGAATTTTTAAAAGTTAAGCTTAAATATTAATGCAATACTTAGATGCATCGATCAGTTTTGAGTTCTTCAGTAGTTTATTGTTACCTTTTGCATCTATTCCTCCTTACCTATTGCGATAAAGGCCCAATCAAGAGCCCTCCGCTGGAGGTAACTTAAATACCGCCCAATAGGGCGGCTTTTAATCTCCTATACAATATATTTTAACACATAACAACGACGTAGTGTAATAGTAAGCTTGTCTTGCTAGATCTGTTACTACTGAAAAGTGAGTTCGGTCTTCACTGGATGCCCCATACTTTCGACCTTGTGCCATATCTAAGCTATGCTTGGAAAATCACTATAACAAAAAGGCTGGTATAGAAAGCTGTATTTTGGTTTTAAATTTTCTGATCATGGCATGAATTTAACCTAAACGGGTGAAATTTAGAAAAGAATGATTAAAATATTACTATCTTTCTTCAATTTCAATGATATACGTTTTACTATTACAGTAAAAAACAGAGAAATTAAAACAGAATAAGAGGGAATTACAATTACAGTAATTGCTAATACGAAAAGAAGAAAAAATGAAGAGAAAAAATTACTATAGTAGCTTTATTGGAGTGAAACGATTAAAACAAATTATTTTGTATATGTTGAATTAATTTATTTTGAGAGTTGTCAGTCTCTTCCCCAGCTATGAATTAAATAGTAAATTTAAAAAAATATATTGTTATTCCCAAAGCAAAATTGTTGATGCAATATTCACTCGCAGAAAACAAAATAATTATTCTTACAATCCAAAATGTTTCCGCTTTAAATAACACCCAAAAGTGTTGATAATTCGTAAAATCAAATCGATCAATCAATCCCAATGAACTATACTTATCTACTTGTTGTTTGCCATACAGCAGTTAACTCAAATGGTCGATTATACGAGGGTCGTTCAAAAAACCTAACCCAGAAAGAAGAGCCATCTTGAATATTTTTGCTGTGGCAACACGCTACTAATTCTTCTAAAACTAGAAAAACTAATTCAGATTTCTGTCTTAATTCCTGTGCAGGTAAGGCCCATATAAATATGAGAGGTATGCGACAAATTTCATATACAAGGGTCGTTCAAAAAACCTGACCCACAAAGAAGAGCCATCGCTAAACATTTTTGTTGTGGCAACACACCACTAATTCTTATAAAACTAGAAAAACTAATTCAGATTTCTGTCCTCATTTCTGTACAAATATAGAGGTATGCGACAAATTTAAAAATGGATAAAACGAAGGTCCGTGTAGTCATAAAGTATTTACAAATGAAAGGTATGGCACACAAAGGACATGGTAGAGAGATTTGGTGAGGACTTTTCTTTCTATGCAACCGTTGAAGAAGAGACAGTACAGAAAATGACCCTTGGTTAAGTCACCTAAAAATCACAACTACTAATGAACAATTTGATGCCATTCAGTGTATAGTTTTGGATAAGAGATGACAGTTATTGCTAAGTGCATAGGCATTAATTCTGTTTTGTTCCGTGCTGTTATAACCTTGGGGATGTGCAAGGTGTCTGCAAGATGGGTTTCAAGAATGCTGACACCAGAGCAGAAGCTAAAAAGGCTTGACATTTCCAGAACACTTCTGACTCGCTTCCAGATTGAACCTGAGAATTTCCCTCTAGATCTCCACACCGAAGAAGTTTAAGCAGGCAGCGTCTATTGACAAGATGATGGTTTCTGTTATTATTATTATTATTATTATTATTATTATTATGAAGACGTAATCATGATAGACTATATGGAAAATAATTATTAAAACTGCTGAGTTTTCCGTTGCCGAAGCAACCGACTGTAATTTTGAATTCCTACTACAACACACCTTATTCATCAGACTTAGCTCCATATGATTTCTTCTAAAATCACACCTGCGTGGTTGCTGTTTGATTAGATAATATGTTCCGTAGAAGAGTTTTTGAAGGTTCAGGACGCCAACTTCTTCCGTGATGAGATTGCAATAATTAAGCATCGTTGGTCCAAGTGTATTACGCTCAAGGGGGACGATATTAAAAAATAGTGAAAAACAGCTTTGTTTCTACAACTCTTTTTGTGCGAGGCTTAGGACATTTTGAACTGCCGTATATATATATATATATATATATATATATATATATATATATATATCAAAATAAACAGTGTTATGTATGTGATTTTCTGTTGTTTATTCGCAAACTGTTAGATGGCGAAGATTATAATGAATTCGGTACCAACGGAACATCAATTGCTTCCCTTTGAACGTATTTGCATATAATTGCCTCTAACATTAAACTTAAGCCGTAACACTCTTCCATAGTGGAAGACGTCACTCCACATCTATTACGGCTATATATATATATATATATATATATATATATATATATATATATATATATATACACACATATATATATATATATATATATATATATATATATATATATATATATATATATACACACACACACAGGTTGGTATATATATATATATATATATATATATATATATATATATATATATATATATAATCCATAATCCAAGTGAATCGTAATAATATAATACAAAATATTAAAACTGATTCACATAGAGAGCTCAATGTTTTATTCAGACAGAGCATATAAATTACGTACAGTGATTACCCGTCGTGTTTATGATCATTTAATCTTACTATAATTAATTAATTACTATTAATTAGTAAGTATTTTAAAACTCATTAGGTTAATAAGAAAAAATAAAATGAAACTGGTTTAAAACAAATTTTAAAAGCCAGGCAGAAGCAAAGAAAAACGGGAAAAGGAAGATAGAGTAAAAGAAAGTGAAAAGACAAGATAGGAAGAAGGAGATAGGGAGAGAGAAGTAAGTAGAGAGAGGTAGTAATGTCTAGACATGGGAGTGGTATGAAGAGATAGACACGAATAGACTGACCAGATTTATAATAGAATTTTCACATCGGTTTCAATCAATAAAATAGAAGGGGAAAATTAGGGAAAATATTTTTAATCGTATATTAACAAATTACTATTCGTTTAATATTAAGAGATATAATTATATATTTGTATTAATGAGACAAAAAAATTCAAGACTTAATAATATATTAGAATATTAAAAAATATATAATGATTCAATTATTTTCTTTTTAGGAAATGTATAATTTAATATTCTTCATTAAAAATTAAAAAAGAACATATTAACATATACTAAACTATTATATATAAAACCCATATATAGGCTTTACTAATAAATGTTAATTAGTAAACCCATATATAGGCTTTACTAATTAATGTTAATTAGTAAGGTGAAATTATCATAACCACCATGGATTAATAATCGTAATTCCTACTGTATATATATATATATATATATATATATATATATATATATATATATATATATATAATAAAAAAAAACAGACCACGTTAAGATTCCATGTAACGTGGTGTGTTTTTTATTCAAACATATCTGCTCTGAATTTTACATTGAGCTCTGTGGATATCATCTTCCTCAGGTCTATCCATACGGATTACCTAAATTTGCAAACTATATATATATATATATATATATATATATATATATATATATATATATATATTGAATTGCTACCCTATTACACATTACCACCAGACTTTTCCGTCCTGGGTAAGACGATAAACTACATCCGTGTCCTGGGTAAGACGATAAACTACATGCAACAGCAAGCTTCTGATCAGGTGGTTTTAGAGGAGCGTGGAACCACCTCTTAATTGCCGGTGTTCCTAACCCAGATTGGTCGCACCTGTTAGGGTCCCAGCTATGCGAAAATAGTTGAACTTCAAACTGGGGTCAAAACACCATGAAAATGTAAAAATATGTTTTAATACCAGCAATACATTTTTGTAAGAGCTTATTACCAGCAATACATTTTTGAAGGAAAAAAAATCTTGTCGGCATTAAATAACGCATTGAGGTTGATATGCCGTAAAACAAACCAAAACAAGCCATACACACATTTGACTTTTACCTGTTCCCTAAACTCAAATCCAACCTGCGTGGTCGCAATTTTGGAAACACTGATGAGATCATATATTCTGTGGAGGAGTTTTTGGTTGACAAGGACGTCACCCTCTTCCGTGAAGGGATTGCAATGCCGTCCTTGGACCAAGTATATCACTCTCAAGTGTGTGTGGCGGGGGGGGGGGGCGTATTAAAAATAGTGAACAGCCCACTTAGCTTTACTATAAGATAATATTCTTTAACACTGTAAGTTTAATATTAGCCAATTGGTGATTTTTCAATATTTCAGAGTATACTTAAAAAATATAAACTTCCGGAAAGGTTCGAATCCCAGGGACAGCGAATTCCCTCAAAGCTTTTTCCGTGAAATTCCCAAAGATAGAACTACAGCAGTGAGGGGAAGAACAGGTTTTACAATCTAATCGCAAGCTGCAGAGGGGGGCTCTGATCGTGTCGAGTCGACTGAATAAAAAATTATACAAATTACTAAATATTTTTAAGGCCTTACTATTATTATGAATCGTTTTCATCCGCCAAGTCACAAAAATATTTTCAGATAGATTAGATTTACAGATGGCTACGCCGATATCAATCGATCCCTGATCTTTTCTTTGTTGCATTTATTCGAAGAATACACCATTGTCATAATAAATACACCATTGTCGTAATAAGTACATCATTGTCATAATAAATATACGTCACCAATACAAAATGATATCTGGCAGCATAACAAGCATTACAAACCAAAACTAAACACAATATGGTCAATGCATCTGTTACATAATAAGCTAGATGACACATTAATATGATTACGATCATCTTGTCCCTAACTATATATCCCTAAACAGCTTGGAGGTATAAAAATAGGAAACTGGTCACTTACCCAATGGGAATCCCAAACGCCATGCACAAGGCAGGGACCGAAAACTCGAGCAGGATTCATACTTCCGCCGGAAATGTTATACTGGAAAAAATAAGGCGGGAAATATTGAAAACGATGTTGTAAATGCTCAAATGAGATTTTTGAATTACTTTTTCATTATTATTTAATCATTTCACGCGAAGCAAGGAAACAAAGCCACTAAGACGCAAGGGGCTACTAATTGCTAGAGTGAAAAAAAACAGCATTAAGGAGAAAGAACAATAAAAGTAGAGGAATTAAGAAGGCAGAGGATAACGATTGCCATTGTACTTGCGGGAAAGTAAGAGGCCAGAAGAGTGTTTCATAAGCGAAAAGTGCAAGAGAAGAAACTGTAATTGTAGAAATTACAGATATATCTAGGCATTCAGCAGTAAAATAATGTGACCTAACCGCCAATCGAGTTAATCGCTTAAATTTGTAAATTCTTAGCACCATAGAGGAAATTAATATTTATTTAAATATAATACAAAAATGTGACAGAAGGAAAAAAAGGCGTGACAGGAGAAGGTTGCTCTTCAATCTGAGTCATTTAAACTTAGTTAGCCACGATTACTAACCAAACATAACACAGTATTCCTTACACCAAAACAATACATTCTTACTATAGCAACCATAATACCTCAAGGTGTCTATATAATTCTAAATAGTTCTCAAATGTTGAATTTGTCTGTGGTGGGTGGGGAATAGCAATAGCAACATTTAAAAGGAAGCCCCAGTGAATATTTACAAGGTCATCAGAACAATTACCATGAACTTATAGAAAAGGTACAAGGAAGCTACGTTACGGCGTTGGGAAAGTGACTGAAGCCGAGATGCCAGGTCAGCACCGACAACATATATGAGACATCTGCAACGTTTCCAAATTTTTTTTATCAAAAAAAAAAAAAAAGAAGAAATAAAAATAACATTCTTCTATGTTTTGAATATTGCTGCCACATCTGGTTTGGTGTTCCTGCTATATATTTAGAAATCCTTGATAAAATCCAAAGAATCTACAATGTTATTGGTCCTGACCTGGCATCTCGGCTTCGGTCACTTTCCCACTGCCGCAATGCAGTTTCCCTGCACCTTTTATATAATTACTTTCATGGTAATTGTCTTCATGAGCTTTCCTCTATGAATTTAAGTGCAGTACTAGATTGCATTTAGATTAAATAGTTGAAATGGCTAGATGCAACCGTAAGTTTTATGTTAACAGTTTCTTCTCTAGTACATCTCGGTCGTGGAACTCTCTTCCGGCCTCTTGCTTCCCAGTCAACTTGATCTAGAAAAATTTAAATGTAATGTCAATCGCTATTTTCTGCCTTCTTAATTCTTGTTCTTTTATTGTTCTCTCTCCTTAACAGAATTTTTTCACACTCTCCCTAACACTCGATTAGCCCACTTGCATCTTAGTGGCTTTATTGTGTTGCTTGGAGGTGAAATGATTTGAAAAAATCTGCCAGACACAATATCTGCTAATCTTTTGACACCACTTGTTTTATATCAAAATCCACAGAATGTAAAATTTATGTATATTGTATATTGCTTTTCAGTAGAATAAAATGCTGTTTTTTATATGTTTGGACTATACTTATTCTTTAATCATATTTATCCATATTCTCCACTAACATAAGTCATCATACTGTCATACATTATGAATTATTAACTTCATAAGAATTCGAATCCCGTTCTGGGTATGACAATAAACTACATCCGCACCGTAGGTTAGACGATAAACTACATTGGCGTCCTGGGTAAGACGATAAACTACATCCGACAGAGAGTCCTTTGATCAGAAGGTTTTGAGGAGCGTGGAACCACATCTTAGATGCTGGTGTTTCCAGGTCCACCCTGACCCGGCGTTGTAACACCTGCCAGGACCCCCAAAAAAAATATTGCCAAAAATATAAGTAAAAAATATATTACCAGCAATAAAAATTTTGTTGTTTGAAAAAAAATATTACCAGCAATACATTTTTGAAAAAAAAATATTACCAGCAATACATTTTTGAAAACAAAAAAGATATTACCAGAAATACATTTAAAAAAAAATATGACCAGCAATACATTTTTGAAAAAAAAAAATATTTCCTGAAATACATTTTTGAAAAAAAAATATTACCAGCAATACATTTTTGAAAAAAAAAATATTACCAGCAATACATTTTGAAAAAAAAAAATATTACCAGCAATACATTTTTGAAAAAAAAAAAAATATTACCACCAATACATTTTTGAAAAAAAAACATATTACCAGCAACATTTAAAAAAAAACATATTACCAGAAATACATTTTTGAAAAAAATTATTACCAAAAATATAAATAAAAAATATATTACCAGCAATAAAAATTTTGTTGTTGGAAAAAAATAATACCACCAATACATTTTTGAAAAAAAAAATATTACCAGCAATACATTTTTGAAAACAAAAAAGATATAACCAGAAATGCATTTAAAAAAAAAATATTACCAGCAATACATTTTTGAAAAAAAAAATATTACCAGCAATACATTTTTGAAAAAAAAAGATATTACCAGAAATACATTTTTGGAAAAAAAATATGACCAGCAATACATTTTTGAAAAAGAAAAATATTACCAGCAATACATTTTTGAAAAAGAAAAATATTACCAGCAACATTTAAAAAAAAAAAAAAATATTACCAGAAATACATTTTTGAAAAAAATTATAACCAAAAATATAAGTAAAAAATATATTACCAGCAATAAAAATTTTGTTGTTGGAAAAAAATAATACCAGCAATACATTTTTGAAAAAAAAAGATATTACCAGAAATACATTTTGAAAAAAAAAATATGACCAGCAATACATTTTTGAAAAAGAAAAATATTACCAGCAATACATTTTTGAAAAAAATATTACCAGCAATACATTTTTGAAAAAAAAAATATTACCAGAAATACATTTTTGAAAAAAAAAATTATTACCAGCAATACATTTTTGAAAAAAAAAGATATTACCAGAAATACATTTTTGAAAAAAAACATATTACCAACAACATTTTGAAAAAAAAATATTACCAGAAATACATTTTTTTTAAAAAAATATTATCAAAAAATATTTTTATAAAAAAATATTACCAAAAAAAAATTTTGTTTTTGGAAAAAAAATATACCACCAATACATTTTGAAAAAAAAAATATTACCAACAATACATTTTTGAAAAAAAAAATTATAATAATTTTTGAAAAAAAAATATTACAATTTTTTGAAAAAAAATATTACCAGAAATACATTTTGAAAAAAAAAAATATTACCAGCAATACATTTTTTTGAAAAAAAAATATTACCAGAAATACATTTTGGAAAAAAAATATGACCAGCAATACATTTTTGAAAAAGAAAAATATTACCAGCAATATATTTTTTGAAAAAAAAAAATATTACCAAAACATTTTGAAAAAAAAAACATATTACCAGAAATACATTTTGAAAAAAATATAACCAAAAATATAAGTTTTTTGAAAAATAAATATTACCAGCAATAAAAATTTTGTTGTTGGAAAAAAATAATAAACCAAAAAAAATTACCATATTAAATAATACATTTTTGAAAAAAAAGATATTACCAGAAACACTTTTTTGAAAAAAAAATATACCAGCAATACATTTTTGAAAAAAAAAAAATATTACCAGCAATACATTTTGAAAAAAATATTACCAAAAATACATTTTGAAAAAAAAAAAAATTACCAGAAATTCATTTTTTGAAAAAAAAAAAAAATATTAAAAAAAAAACATACCAGAAATACATTTTTGAAAAAAAAAATATTACCAAAATACATTTTTGAAAAAAAAATATTACCAATAATACATTTTTGAAAAAAAATTATGACCATTTTGAAAAAAAAAATATTACATTTTTTGAAAAAAAAAAAATATTACCAGTAATACATTTTGGAAAAAAAAATATTACCAACAATACATTTTAAAAAAAAGATATTCCCAGAAAGACATTTTTGAAAAAAAAAATATTACCAGCAATACATTTTTATTACCAAAAAAAAAAAAAAAAAAATTACCAGCAATACATTTTTGAAAAAAAAAAATATTACCAGCAATACATTTTTTGAAAAAAAAAAAATACCAGCAATACATTTTGAAAAAAAAATTATTAGAAATACATTTTGGAAAAAAATATGACCAGAAATACATTTTTTGAAAAAATAAAAATAAATTTTTGAAAAAAAAACCAGCAATACATTTTTTTTTAAAAAAATATTCCCAGAAATATATTTTCAGAAATACATTTTTGAAAAAAAAAATATTACCAGCAATACATTTTGAAAAAAAAATATTACCAAAAAACATTTAAAAAAAAAAAAAATATTACCAGAAATACATTTTTGAAAAAAATTACCAGCAATTACCAAAAATATAAAAAAAAATATATTATTACCAGCAATAAAAGTTTTGTTGTTGGAAAAAAATAATACCAACAATACATTTTTGAAAAAAAAAAGATATTACCAGAAGTACATTTTTGAAAAAAAATATGACCAGCAATACATTTTGAAAAGGAAAATATTACCAACAATACATTTTTGAAAAAAAAAAATATTACCAACAATACATTTTGAAAAAAAAAATATTACCAGAAATACATTTTTGAAAAAAAATGTATTACCAATAATACATTTTGAAAAAAAAAAATATTACTAGAAATACATTTTTGAAAAAAAAAATATGACCAGCAATACATTTTTGAAAAAAAAATATTACCAACAATACATTTTTGAAAAAAAAAAAATATTACCAATAATACATTTTTTAAAAAAAGATATTCCCAGAAAGATATTTTGAAAAAAGACATTTTTTTTGAAAAAAAAAATATTACCAGCAATACATTTTTGAAAAAAAAAATATTACCAGCAATACATTTTGAAAAAAAAAAAATTACCAACAAAACATTTTTGAAAAAAAAAAATACCATATTTTGAAAAAAAAAATATTACCAATACATTTTTGAAAAAAAATATTACCAGCAACATTTTTTTGAAAAAATATTACCAGCAATAAAAATTTTGTTGTTGGAA